TCAAATCTAGCTCTTGTGATCTCGCATCAAGTATATTTAAATTATCTTGCACCTGATTCCGTAAATGGGACAGAAGAGAAATATCACAAGTGAAGTCCAGATTAACAAGCCGTTTTGTAGGGGTCCACTGAATTCCATTCCTGGTGATAGCAGTTGCTGTCTTGATAATCCTGTCTATTGCCAGTAAAAATAGGAGGGTTGACAAAAGACATCCCTGACGAACACCTGGGTTAAAACAGGAAGACGACTACCTGACCTGCAGATTGGTCATAATGTTGGGGGGGGGGGGGGGGGGAATCCTTATCAGGTGAACCCACGACCCTGAGAGCACAAAGAATATAGCTCAACCATTTCATTATTAAAATACCCACATTATTTGACCCGACTCTTCGTACTGCCACTTCCCACCCAAACGCCAACCATGTTAAACACGTAATACAAAGAGAGAACAAGCTCATCAGCATTCAGGACTGTTCTGGACCCCCGTGTGGGTTCCGGGGCCCCATTGTGGCGAAGACAAGAATAGACCCACTGCCTCCCCATAAGCATGTCGTAAGAGTCGACTAATTGGGGAGCTTCCTTTGAAGTCGGAGTGCATCTGCCGGAGAGGCAAGGAACCAACAGTCTGTATTCAAGAGAATGAGATCTGTAAAACTGATGCACATGCAACACTCAGGTTCTGAAACAGGACTGCAGTTCATTAGTGGACGAGCAACCAGAACCTTCCGCCAGAGTTTACAGCTGGTGAACGCGAAGAAGAAGACGAAGGACTGTTCTTTCTGGCGGGACGCAGGGGTACATTGCAAGTAAAGGGTCCCTGTCCTCGATTTCATGCATATTGGACTTGTAGGGCTAGACCTATATTTTACAGACTAACTGGCACTGGGTGGGTGATGTGGTCAGATCATACCGGTCGCTTTTAATTCCCAGGACTTCACCTGGTACCCATTTAAGGCTGTGGCAACCTGGAAGCCAAGGTCATTAAAAAGATAATAAGTCTGGTTCCGCCATGGACACGAGCCCATGACCTACTGCGTCTAGCCACTACACTATGGTGGGTTTTACGGTACGCAGCCCCCCCCCCCCCCACCCCTACCTTCCCCACAGACTCACAAACACACTGTTCTCAGAAAACAAGCCGTACCTGTAATGATGAGTAAGGCAAGAAGGATAGACAATGCATTCACCAAACAATTTTTATTTAGCAACATTTTTGCATTGAAAGTATGATTTGATCTTTTACTGGTATGTTCGCCTTTTACGAATGGTATCTTAGATAGAGAGGCATAGACAATAGTTTTGTTGTTTCTGAAATGAAAGTGCTTCGATACTAATTGACATGTTTAAGAACAAATCTTTATCATTCTTATAGAGCATGCCGGATAAACTAGTGCATGGTGTAGCCACTACAGATACCCTTATTATAACTTCCTTGGTGGTAAAACAACGGACATGACATGGTACCCAGTTTAGGCTGAGTGGACCTAAGAGTCACATACAATTTTTGAGAGAGGGACAAAAACCCCGACCTAATGCTTGTATAAATCGACGACTTTGAGGCTGCTATGTGAGAGTTTTGCCGTTACAATACAGCATCTTCTGGGGAGATAGTTATTTGGTACAGTATTTGCTGTGTTGAATGTGCATCCAGACAGCGATTCTTAGAGCTGCAGGGGTCTAAAACTTTAAGGTAGCAGACAGGGAAGGAAAACCCGTCAGTCAAAGTCTTATCCTACGCCAAGCCAACAGGAATACACCAATGACTGCAGCTATGTTCTGCGGAAGCTCCACTACAAGAAGGGATTTTGTTAATCGTATTAGCGGTACTGTATATTTAGGTCGACCCAGCCTAAAGTGGGTACCAGGATGTATGTCTTGTGAAAATGAAGACGGTCGGCGTAATGCTGACCACATAACCCACCTTGTGTTGATTGGTCTGTAAAAATATGGGTGCTCTTCCTGTATGCTTGATGCGCCTAAAGGCATGAACAGGGATCTTTACTTTTTATATTTATGTAATGTTCTGATGAAACCCGCCTAACCGCAAAGTTTATTTGTCGTGTGTGTCTGTGATAATGTAAAGCTTTTTGTTCAGTTTGATATCTTTTCACTACACGATGATGAAGCAGACTGCTCTTTCCATCCTGGTCTGCTGCCAAAAGTTTAAAGCAATAGGTATCTGGATACCAACCCAGCAGAAACGAGGTTCCCAAACCCGTTTCAAAAAAATCACCACTATCCTCCTAAAATATGAGGGGCACACAGGAAGTAATGCTTCATATTTTTTTTCTCCTTTTTTGTTTGTGGAAAATATATGTCATTATAATGCAGTAAATACTAATTTAAAAAAAGAAACTCAAATAAAAAACGCATAACTGCTGAAAGGACCATAGCTTTCTTATTTTTTAACATTATAAATATGTGAAATTTAATGAGTAACATTGTTCAACATGCACCAAGAATATTTTAAAAGGTTGAGCCAATCAGTTGACAGTTCTTTTGCATCCAGTTCAAGGATAGCTTTTATTTCCTAAAACTAATATTTACATCCCGGTCCTCTTGTAGGATGTAATTTTTCGTTATTTGAAATCCCACCCCGACTTTTGCCGGGAGCCCTCAATATAGCTGTGCCACAACTGCGGCCATAACGGCTGAAAGGGGTTTCTGGGACCTCTCCATAGGTGATCTTCAACCACGTATATGCATGTTCACCTTTTTTTTTTTTTTCAGCGACTAAAAATACTCTTGTAATTTGCTGTTTGTAACCCATTTTCCACACATGCAAATTTAATGGGTTAGTGCAGCTGTTTTTTTTTTTTTTTGCCGGAACGAAGCACCATTTCGTGTATGCTATACAGGGACTAAAAATTGAAATTGTATACAATTTCATGTTTCTATTATATTATTCGGTGAAAATATATGGGATATTACTGCTAAATGTCATAATTAGGAAACTTTGAGCCACCTTCTTCTTCTTCTTCTTCTTCTTCTTCTTCTTCTTCTTCTTCTTCTTCTTCTTCTTCTTCTTCTTCTTCTTCTTCTTCTTCTTCTTCTTCTTCTTCTTCTTCTTCTTTTTCTTTTTCTTCTTCTTCTTCTTCTTCTTCTTCTTCTTCTTCTTCTTCTTCTTCTTCTTCTTCTTCTTCTTCTTCTTCTTCTTCTTCTTCTTCTTCTTCTTCTTCTTCTTCTTCTTCTTCTTCTTCTTCTTCTTCTTTTTCTTCTTCTTAAAGTCTATGCTGTGTGGCATTAGTAATCATGTCTATTCACAACCTTCTGTCTCGTTTACTTTCAATCAACTCTGACGCAGATGATCCTCCATGCCATGATGTCGAATTGTCCAGCATCTTTTCTCTCGTTTTCCTTCTGCCTCTCTTTCCCTCCAACTGTCCTACTGTCACGATGTACTCTAGTTTTCTCCTTCTCATCACAAGACCAAAGAATAAAGATTGTCTCTTTCTGACGTGGGCAGCCAGTTCTCTTCGTGAGTCATTTTCTTTCAAGACATCCTAATTTTACCTTCTACTTTTCTGTAATTACCGGATTTAGATGAGTATGTGTGGTGTAGTGAACATTTGCAAACGTATTATAATTACAAATCGTAGACTCGCCAAATACAAATGTACCCATGCCTATTTTTAATAGGAGATGTTGGGGGACATTTTTCTGATACTGCTGACTGTCCATAGCAAACGAAAAGGGTCTGTAGTGCTTAATATCAATGATTGCCTTATAGAGACTACTTTTTAATCAAGAAAAACACCCACTGTAACATGTAAAATATAATTACATAGTGAAAAAATAATGTACACTTTTTTTTAAAAATCAGAATGACTGCTCTAGATAAGCTGTGACATATGGGCCTTTCAAACTAAAACAAAAATATTGCATCTGCTGGCCCGGATTTCGCATGTTAAAACAACGGACGCAATTCGGAGCAGCAGATGTAATATTTTTCTAAAATCAGTAAAATGGCGTTCTGTAAAACTTCGTGGAAGTAGCCGCATTCTGCAAACGCAGTCGCTAACTTGACATCCTTATAATTTAGGGGAGTGGTTTTTTATTGATACAGCCTCAATCCATTTTAGCCGCTATTCAGTGTGTTGTAAATAAACTCTCCTATGTATGTTATGTTAACAGAAAGCTCAAGTGAACAATTTAAAGTTACCATGGTAATCACATGACTGATTTTGAATTTTTAGAATGATCAACCTCCAGGATAGCAGCCTGAGACTCGGCGACTTAAAAAGCCACTATATAGATGCAAATCTATCAGGAACAAATCCTTGATACCCCGTTCAACCGTATACAAGTTATATTCGGGATATCTTACAAGGACACAGTAACACGCTCTCGTCGGAATTAGTAACACTTTAATGCTTAAACCATCTTGTATATGACGCCAAACCAACACCAATTTTTTGTATTAATCTTTTAATGATAAATGTAGCGTGCCAAAAGAAGCTGCATCTGAGTGAGTAAGTGAGTGACATCAACCACATAAAGACCGCACGACGAGTGATTCACACACGGTGCCACAATTCGGATGAGAATCTCCCCAGGTGGGCATAGAAACCAGGTTCAACCCTTAGGTTGACAGCCGGGATGGGAATAACAATATTCCGTTCCATATTGGGAAGTAGTCTGAATGTGATTTAAAGCACTTCTCATTTTGGTTTTCGAAACAGCTGACCATTATGATATCGGCATGTAGACATTACTAATAATTATTAAATTCATAATTATTACGAGGACTTTTCTTTCTGGAAAAAAAAAGGGGGGGGGGGGGCAGTACTCACCAAGAAATCTGTTTTGAAAAAGTGCTGAAATACAAAATGGTGCCGAAACGAACCTGCCAGTACTGAGAATCGATAGAAAAAAAGAAATGAGCTCTAATCGTTACCATTATTTTTCTTTGTACAGATCATCGTCAATATGAAACATCAGCTCCCCTCCATCCCCCCACCCCCACCCCCCGCACCACCCTCAATTATAATTTGATAAAACTAAAATCGTGTGGAAATGTGATTCGGCTTAGTGACACTATCATCATGTGCGGCTGGATTATCATAGTCACTATGGGATAGTGGTGTGATGTAATAATTGTCTTTATCTCCTTTGTCGAGGTTTATTCTATCGACAAGATCACCATTTTTGTCCGTCTTTTCATTGATGATATTATAATCAGGAACAAATGCAGTGTTGTCGTAGCTGGATAACTTATCTTCGTTCACGTTAATTTCGCAATTCCCAATGTTCTTTGCAGTATCGGAGAGTGCTGGCTTTTCGCTAAGAGCGTTTTTCTTGTTCAAATTTCTCCTGTTGACCCATTCTTCTTTAGCTTGCATAAGCTGTGGAATAGAAAAAATTAAGGAGTGGCCGGGGGTTAAAAGATTAGATTTTTCGCATAAAATTAGTGTATTGGAACATTTATATCCTAAGTTTAACATGACCCAGATCTCTAAAATGGATGTGCCCGCAGCTACAGTATATATACATGTATGGGTGTGAGGTTTGATCGCAGTCTGTCCTTCAAAAACCAAGTCGACCATGTTATAACGAAAACCCGTGAAGGCTAATCAGCAATGAAGGTCATAGCCATCGAGCAGAGACTGCTTCTGCTACTGTTCCAGGGACTGGTTCTTTCTTCAATCGAATATGCTTTACCATACTCACTGTCAGCGATACTCAGATTGAAAGACTGCAAAAGGTGCCAAATGAAGCCATGCACATTATTCTGAAGTGGACAAGAGATGCCTCTTGCGTAGCAATGACCTATCTTCTTGACTTTTCGACGACAATACACCCTATAATGAAGATCTGGAGGACTCGTGCAGACCTGAAGATATGTTCGGATTTGAAGCACCCTCCTTTAGAAAAAGGGGCGACAGGCTAAAAAGGGGCAAATCATTGCTCGGTAGAACATAGGACGATATCATACAGGTTTGCAGTCTTACAGACATCAACTCCGGCGAAGAATGGATACCTGTGACTCAGGTGCTCAACTGCACCTTTTCCTCCAGCTTGATACGAGCTGGTCCACGCGCTTATATGTGAAAATTCAGATGGGGCGGTGTGGATGTATTCATCTACACAGATGGGTCCGTTGTACGATGACAAAAAAGTGCATGGGCATTTACTGCGTTCTGTATAGATAGAACAGTCCAGGAGGCCAGTGGTGTCTTCTGTATGACTACTAGCACTATGCCAATTTAGGGGATGGCGGTAACACGAGCTTTCATGTGGCTAGCATCGCAGGGCTGTTCTCACGTGTGTGTGTTGAGTGATTCTATGGGCATGATTCGGCGGGTCAGGGCGGGCTTTGTATGCAGACAATGGATCGAGTCACTGTAAAACTCCATTGTGCGTGGAGTTACCTTTATCTTTGTACCAGGGGTATGCGGGTGTTGTTGACAATGAAAGAGTCGACAGATTACCCGGTCTGCTTTAGTTACACAGGGCCGGTCCATGAATCATGCCGACACTGTTAACGCCATTAGAGAGGTAACACGTATGGAGGGATTTTGGGAGCAACACATCCACATCTTTACTAAGAGTTCAAGAATTTTGAATAAAGATGGGCACAGCAAGGCATGAGAAGCACACCCGACGCACGAGAAGTCTTGTCAACCAACATAGAACAGAAACTATCAACCGCGAAATGCTGATGTATATGTTGAAGGGGGAATCTGAGCACGTATGGATGTGCCCGGAGTGCCGTGAAGATAACCCAAATCATAACTTGTCCGGAGTGCCGTGAAGATAACCAAAATCATAACTCAGAACCGCAGTATAAAGAAGTCATCATCATCATCATCAGTTCTAGTTATGCCTAGTGGCACATGAGGCTTCAGAGAGGACTTTCCATGCTTTCCTGTCCTGTGCAATCTTCAGTGCAGTTTTCAATGTCAAAGATACCACCCTCAGGTCACTTTCCATCGTTCGTCTCCATGTTGTTTAAACATTGTTCTACATTCCAGAAGCTAATTCTGAATTTGGTTTTGACATCCAGCAGACTTGTTGTCCCATCATGGGCTTCCTTTCGGCTTTCACCCATGTTGTTCATGCTGACAGAGGGACTCTGTCCCAAGACCACCGGACGTTTAGAGCACTTATTTCCTCTTGAAGTTTCAGTAACGTTGTAGATTTTTTTACAGGGCAGAGCTGTTAACACTCATTAATTATAAAGAAGCAGTAATATATAATAATATTCCACACAAATAATAGTGTATTTAAACCTGCAACAAGCTTTTTTTTTGTAGGCGCCTCTGTGCTTATATATCCAATAAAAACACCACACCCACTCCCTTTTCCATCGCATGGGTTATAATGCATCCCGTGAAATGACATTTACAATGGACATCTGTAGATTCGTATGCAGCAGTAATTTTTCCGTGTAGCAATAATTTACTGGAATATTTATAGCTTAACTTGAACCAACTGATAGTGCCGTTAGTTCAATCAAGTGCATAAGCATTGTGCCACAAAATGACATAATTCACAGTCCTCTGTGCCTATAACTAGCAGTCGCGATTTCGCAGACAAACATACCTCCCACGTTCCATTCTTGCAAGTGTAATGGAAGAAACATAACGGAATCCACATCAAAGCGAAGATGACAATCAGGTAGTAGAGCAGTCCCACCCAGCCAGCAGAGAAATCCTCCATCTGATAAGCTTTAAATACAATGACAGCCTGGGAATAAATTTTTCAAAAATACATAAGGAAATGTTAATCTCAACCGTCAGTTAGTCGTGTGGGGTTAATATGAGCTCATGTTATTGAATAACAGGTCACTCTACCGGAGACTTTACCACATGACCTTGAGCTGGTGAGTACCTTCCACCAATCTGGTGGTGGTGATTTGTTAAAGGTGGGGAAAAATAGTCAACTTCAACCAGCATACCCGAAGAAGGAGATTTAGGTTATAATTGTGACTAGGTTTTGTGCGCCATATAAAATTGTTTAGTATTGCATGCCACCATGAGCCATGAAAAGGACTCCTGCAGTGTTGAGCCGATGAAAAGAACAAAAACCCAAATACTGTACCGAACGGCGACACAGTTGTCTATCGGCGAGCCAGTGAGCAACCTTGTTGCCAATACTGACACTAACCGCTACCTAGTCCAGACTTTAGGTTATTTTGTAACTGCCAGGGGTCCCAATATAACCTGTCAATCCCAGGTTTTTCATAAAAGGCCAAAAGAGTGGTAACGAAAGACGTAATCTCAGCGCATCTTGCGTCCATCTGGGCTTCTAGGTAGGAACATAGAACGTTCCTTGGGTCTGAAAGAGTTACCGGGATTTGAACAATTTCCCCACATGCTGATAAGTCACGTTCAGTCGTGAGGAGGCATATGACGTAAACAGCTCTTGCATAAAAATTTCTTCTGAAGTATTTAATGTATTTTTTAATTGTGTCTTTCGAATATTCTATTACTGTATTCTAAAACTGTGAGCTCGTAATGAACTCTGGGTTTAACAATTGCCTTTATAGGCAAAATGAGTTTGAATTTATTTTGTATGCTTTAAGTTAAAGTTAGTTGAACATCCTTTACAGGGCCTTGCAAAACCAACGCCAGCATTGTGTGTGTGTGTGTGTGTGTGTGTGTGTGTGTGTGTATATGTGTGTGTGTGTGTGTGGCTTCTGTGGGTTTTTTAAGTAAATTTATGTCCAGTAGTTTAACATTATTACCATTACTAGTAAAAATAACAACCCAAATATGCCTAAGAACAAACAAAAACAATTTTAAAAAAAGAAATATGTCTAACCAGCCAACCAAATAAGCAACTAGTCGACCAATCTAGCCAGCCAGCCGACCAGTCTGAAAACCAGAAAACTATTTAGAATCTGATCTATGAATGAAATCTGTCTGAATTTACAGTGTACAAACACACACACACACACACACACACACACATTCACACAAACACACACATTTCCCACCATACATTTCCACTCAGAGCCCATATCACCAAAACCTGCAGCACAAACCACTAAACCTCACAGCTCACGAGTTATATAATCAAAACGTATCAACTACAAAGACCTAATTTGACACTGAACAATTTTTCATGTATAATAACAGTAAAAGGACACTTTTCCACACATGCAGGCGTATTGGGCATATAAGGCTAGACCTGTACTTTACATACCAATCGGTACTCGATGGGTGGTGTGGCCAACATCACACAGACCGCCTTTACTTTCCAGGATTACCCTCGTACCCTCTCAAGGCTGGGAGCCAAGGTCATTTTTGAAAGAACCAGAACCCACGACCTTCCGATCCACAGGCGAGCGTCTAGCCACCCTATACCACATGTACAGTAAGAGTTAAAAAGTCAGTTGCGTATCCTTTACAGGGCGTTGCCGAACCAACCTCAGCATTGTTTGGCTGTTGTGGTTTATCTAGGCAAATTAAACGTTCAGTAGTTTGCCATTGTCACTAAACAGTCAGCTCTCGGTACCACTCTCGAAACCAACGCAAGACAAATCGATTGTACCCGGCACCCCAGCATTACGAAACGCGTTCGCAACGCCTAAGTCACAGACGCCGACAAGAGAGAGCACTCACCAGTAAAAGTACAGGGGCGATAACTACCCACGTTGCCTTGAAGTAAATAAAGGGACTGAATCCAACCATGGCTTTGACATCGGCTGCGAATCTGGAGTATCCTGGGCAGAAGAGTCAAAACACAAACATACAAGTTAACAAGGGTGTTTTCAGGTTGCACCGTTATTACCCTCTGTGACTCAGTCTCTCTCTACCTGCCGAGAAAGTTGCACTCAGCTCGAATCTCCTATCCTTACTGACAACTTGAACCAAAACAAGAAGAAGAATAAGAAGAGAAAGAATAACAAGAGGAAGAGCTGATAAAAAAAGGGTTCTTTGATTACTGATTTTAAACATATATTGTTATAATTATGTCAGTCTGTTTGCCTGCCAGCTGGCCTACCTGTCTGTCTGTCTGCCTGCCTGCCTGCCTGTCTGTCTGTCTGTACATCTGTCTGTCTGTCCGTCTGTCTGTCTGCCTGTCAGTCTGTACATCTGTCTGTCTGTCTGTCTCTCTCTCTCTATCTATTTGTCTCCCTCTCTCTCTTTCTCTCTCTCTCTCTCTCTCCCTCTCTCTCTCACTCTCTATCTGTCTGTCTTCATTTCTTTGTGTCGTTCTTTATTCCTAAAAAACCCACAACGGCTGTTCATATTTAATCTCTCTATGCAACAGCTGTCTGTCTGTCTGTCTGTCTGTCTGTCTGTCTGTCTGTCTGTCTGTCTGTCTGTCTGTCTGTCTGTCTGTCTGTCTGTCTGTCTGTCTGTCTGTCTGTCTGTCTGTCTGTCTGTCTGTCTGTCTGTCTCTCTGTCTCTCTGTCTCTCTGTCTGTCTCTCTCTATCTATTTGTCTCCCTCTCTCTCTTTCTCTCTCTCTCTTTCTCTCTCTCTCTCCCTCCCTCTCTCTCACACTCTCTATCTGTCTGTCTTCATTTCTTTGCGTCGTTCTTTATTCCTAAAAAACCCACAACGGCTGTTCATATTTAATCTCTCTATGCAACAGCTGAAGAGTTGCATAAAAGGTATCAGATGAATTTTATTTTTTGGTCTAACTCACAACTCTTTCATTAAAATCTATTTCACACACAACTCTTTTATTAAAACCTATTTAAAAAACAACTCTACATTTAAACCTATCAGACAACTCTTTCATAAAAACCTATTTAATAGACAACTCTTTGATTAAAACCTATTTAACAGACAACTCATTGATTAAAACCTATTTAACAGACAACTCATTGATTAAAACCTATTTAACAGACAACTCTTTCATTAATACCTATTTGATTTGATTTGATTCGATTTGATTCAAGAACCGACATCACAGCACTCGGGGCCTTCACATAAGCGCTGCGTCCCCATCTTCAGCAGACAGCGAAGAGTTCCAATGCTAATGGTGCCAGTAACATTCTGATTAAGCGTCGTATTGCCTTTCTTCTGAGCCTCGAGCATCTGACAGAACCTCTCGTCACCCCCAACTGCATCAGTCTCACCACACTGTGGTGATCAATCTGCTCCTCCACACTGTACACGCTCTCCCACAAGGCACTAACCACGTCTGCCTTAAAATGCATCAGTATTCCACCAAGCTGTGCAGAGCCAGCCAGTCTGTCCTCCTGTTCAATTCCCAACACACCGGCATTCCCTGGGGAAAAAATCCAGACAATACTCCTCACCCGTGTCTTCCGTAGCGAGGCATGCCACTCTGCACGAAGCATGCCTGTCCTGATCTTCCCCAACATGCTTTCTGAGTCAGTTATAATCACGATATGTGTATGTGTCGTGTTCTCTAGCCAGCGGAAAGCTGCAGTGACAGCCTCCACCTCCATTCTTAAGCTGGATGTTGTGATATCATATGCTAGGCTCTCCTGCACCAAATGTCGACCATTAACTTTTGCTTTGAAACCCCAAGCACTTATTTGCCTCTTGACACTGAACCGTCTGTGTAAATGATCAAATCTTCTGAGCGAGAATTATCTGAATTAACTGCTGAATTTCCACCTCTGTGGCACCTGCTGGCCAGTCTCTGCATTCCCGGCTCAGTGTAATTACGACCCTACACAAGTCTGACTGTTCAGGTGGCACTTTGACCCACTCCTTTCCTCGCCTCATGTTCTCAAGGATGTAAACCTGTATGATTGTATCTTCTGCCTGAGCCATCAATGACTTCCCACTTATCAGCCGCTGACCCTTAACTGCACCAAGGGCTTCGTGCAAAGGGTGGTCTGTGTCTGCAGTTACCATAATATATGACTTCGCCTGCAGCACCTTGTGCCTACCTGCAACAGTGGGCAAACCGAGGATGTATCGCATACACACCACTGGGGTGTCTCTGGTGCAACCCAGAATGACCCGCATTGCTGCATTTTGTATGCGCTATAGTTTGTCCATCTGGCTCTTTGAGACGGTAAGCATTCCCTATTTAACTGACAGCTCTTTGATTTAAACCTATTTAACAGACAATTCTTTAATTAAAATCAATTTAACAGAAAACTCACTGATTAAAACCTAGTTACCAGACAACTCTTTGATTAAAACCTGTTTAACAGACAACTCTTTCCTTGAAACCTACTTAATTGATAACCACTATGATTAAAACCTACTTAACAGACAACTCTTTGATTAAAACCTATTTAAAAGACAACTTTTTCCATAAAACTTACTTAACTGATAAAAACTTTGATTAAAACCTACTTAACAGAAAACTCTTTAATTAAAACATGTTTAACAGACAACTCTTTCAATAAAACCTTTTTAACAGACAACTCTTTAAATAAACACTATTTAACACACAAAAAAAACTTTGATTGAAACCTATTTAACAGACAACTCTTTGATTAAACACAATTTAACAAACAAAACTTTGATTAAAACCTATTCAACAGACTACTGGTTAATTAAAACCTTTTTAGCAGACAACTATTTTAGTAAAACCTTTTTTAACAGACAACTGTCGGTGTCGTACTGGCAAAACCATTTCTCGGACTGTCCTCTAAGTCCTATAAAGATTTTGCACTCCTGCAAGGCCATCTTGTGTGGTAGTTTTACCAGATATCAAGTGGGGTGGTAAAACCCCATTCTGTTAAATAATACATGTAGTATTTCTGGACATACTTGTATTCGCTTTAATAGTTTCTGCTGGGATCTCACCTGCCCCCTAACAGCTTTCCTATAGTGAGAAGTTTGATATTTTTCACCATTCCCTCTTTAGATTTTCTCAAAGTAGATTTAGCTTTTTTCCTGTCAGTTAAATATTCGAAAACGCTAACATGTTCAGAATGTTTGAGAACTACTCACCATAAATATAAATGACTACCACATATTCAAAGAGACCAATAAAGAGCAAGGGAAACCCTAGCACGGCCTCGTCCACAAGATCCAAGAGATGGGAGCCACCTTGCGTCACCATCGGAATACCCAAGATAAAACCCAGCAGGCAGACGCTTATACGGAAGAGAACCTGACGTTTCCTTTGCCTGAAGAAGTGGGGAAATTCGTCTATGATGGAAGTCATCAACGTTTCAGCAGCGGAGAACTGGGGGAAAACAAATGAAATAGAAATAAATTAGGTGCTTTATTAATATCCTACCCCAGATGACGTCACAGGACTGTCCAACATTTTAGAGGATGGTAAGACGACTGCGTTTCCCGGCTTTCTGAAGCTTTTAACGACCCGAAACATCTACAACTGGCCCTAACACCAACCCACCTACGTCACACGAGAGAGCTCAGCCTAAGTCCCACGACCGCATGCAGCCTAGGTCCCACGACTGCATGCAGCCTATCTACCACCCCCTGAAATATTAGACTGTCCCGTGACCTGTGGATTTCCCCAGTTTCGGGTAGGATATTATTAGAGAACCATAAATTAAAACAAACACGACATGAATTCATCATCATCATGTACCATGCTGGTAAGCATAGGCTGTCATGTTTTGCCATCCCAAACGATGACTAGAATTACGGATCAGATCAATGTGTTTGTCTCCCCCATCCATGTGGCAAAGCCATCTAGGTATTTATCTCTTTGCTGTCCTCTTGCGCTCTTTCCATAAATCTTGCCGATTGGTACCAAATTCTCCAGTCTCTTCCTTTTCATTGTGGGTCTCGAAAAAATAAAACTGTCTGCATCTTTTTGTTCTAATTAAAGACTGTTATCTGGCATGAATTCACTGAACGCGTAATTTGACTTTCGTCTCTCCATTCTTATTGACACTATGTCTTGTTAATTAAGTAGAGTAAAATCATGTTAAAACGAATGTTTAATTAAGAATCGACTTCATAGCACTTGGGACACCCCCATAAGCACTCCTTTCCCATCTTCAGCAGCAAGCAAAGAGATCCAATTCCGATGGCTCCAGTAACTGTCTGACTATACATAAATCTCGCCTTTCTCTTGAGTGCTGAGCCTAGACCAGAACCCTGGTAACTCCCCTCAGCGCCATTTTCCTCAGACCGTAATGACCTACTTGTCCCTCCGCACTATTCTCTCGCTCCCAAAGGGTTCTCACTATATTTAGCTTGTCATACATCGATTCACCGCCCAATTGGTGCAGAACCCGCCAGCCCATCCAGATGTTAACACAAACTCGCTTAAGAAGAACGCTCGGTTAAGAGATACACAGTTCTGAACCCAGCAATAATGTATTATTCACAAAACGTTTACATGGTTTTGAAAAATTTCACTACACTTTGTTCATTCATTCATTCAGTAGCATGTCCCTCGCGGAACCTCGCTGCCATAACAACCCTCCGGAAAACCTTCCTATCCTGAGCAAGATGTCCTGCGTCTGATACACCCATCTGGAGATCATCTGCCACATCCTGCACCCATCTTCTCCTTGGCCTTCCTCTTGCTCTCTTCCCAGGCATATACCCCTCCATTATTGTTCTCTCGAGACTTCCATGACGTTTCAAGTGACCAAAATATTTCAATTTTCTTTGTTTTATTGTCTTTACTAGCCAACCCTCTTCAATATTCAGCTCTTGAAGTATGGATGCATTTGTTCTTTTCTTTACCCAAGATATTCTTAGAACCTGTCTGTAACATTTATATTCAAATGCATTTATGCGCTGTTCCGCTTGTTTAGTAATTGTCCAGGTCTCACAGGCGTATGTTGCAATAGGAAAGATGCATGCTCTTAAAAATCTGACCTTTGTAGTTCTATCTGTACAATTCCATAATTTATTCAGTTGTTTTAGTCTTTGAAGAGCAATTGATAGTCGCCGTTTAATTTCTTTCATTGTGTCACCATTGTTGGTAACCAGTGACCCAAGATATTCGAAATTTTCCACCACTTCCAATCTTTCCTCATTAACATATATTTCCTTCTCCATATCAGTTTTGTTTGTATGCATTATCTTTGTTTTTGCTATGTTAAGAAATAAGTTATGATTTTCACTATTTCTTTGGAGTGAGGTTAATAAGTTTTCTAAACCATTTTGTGATGTTGATAGTAATACTGTATCATCAGCATAACGAATTTCTGGTATTTCATGACCACCGATGTTTAGGGCATCATATTGTTCCTTGTTTATATCATCTCTTACATTTCTCATTATATTTTCGGCGTACAGGTTGAACAAATACGGTGACAGCACACATCCCTGACGGACTCCTTGCTTGATGCCAAACCAGTCTGATGTCTCTCCATCTATTCTGACTGCTGCTTGTTGGTCTTGATAGAGCATTTTAATGAGCTGCACTATATGTGATGGAAAGCCCATATTCCTCATGATTTCCCAAAGCTTCTGATGTTGTACACAGTCAAATGCTTTTGAATAATCCACAAAACATCTACACTTTGTACGCAGAAGAAATGTGAAAACCCTAAGTATATGACGTCATCAAAAATGTGCTAAAAAGTAATCAAATAGATTACAATAGTTACTGCTATGGTCTAATGCTGTTTTGGGGAAAGTAGCAACGAAATATTCATTATAATAGGTGTTGGAGCTGTCCACCACGGGTTTCAAGGCATGATTGTAGATCTCTTTTCCCACTGTCAGTAACCTTCTGCAACTTGTTCGTTGTTATTTCTAAAATGGTATTTCTAACTGCTTCCATTGATACCACAATTCTGAGTGCAAAGAATTACCCCCGCAGACGACAGCCATTTACTGCATATTATATCGCTATTGACCGTGGAACAGATGCTTTAATGAGGTTATGTACTTCGTGTGTGAGTACTAGGTAAAGTTATGGGAAGTAAAGGCTGCTGATGTGATGTTGACCGCATCACCCATAAAATATTTGTCTAGCCTCAGCTGCCAATGCGCCACAGGCGTGTAAAGAGATATTCACTTACTTACTTTGATGAGGAGTGAACTAACGATCTTCTCACCGGAAGACAAGCCCTGTGACATTACCTGAGTGCTGAATCCTAGGATACAGAGCATGAAGAAGAAGAGGATGGCCCATAGTGTAGACACCGGCATGCTGGCTATTGCTTCTGGGTAGACCACAAAGGCTAATCCAGGCCCTGGAATCAGGTAAGTTACATAGACAGAGACGCAATACATAATGACAACTACATTAAATACAAGCTTTCTGTTCATTTGTCTGCCACTAAATCTTCTTTTTCTTTCTTCATCGTGTTAACCAGCTGTAAACTCCAGCGGAAATGTAGGTACTTTTATTTTTATACACACCATATCGGGGATTCCAAGATTGCATGGAGAGTTCCCGGGAAAGTCCAATATTATAGGGAATGGGTTAGGATTAGTGTTAGTGTTCATTTCACACGCTTACACCCCCTTAATATTGGACTTTTTCTGGGAACTCTCCAAGAAATGTTAGAGTCCCCGAGATCGGGTGAGTTAAAAGAAAAGGACTGAAATGTAGTGTTGTTCGTTGAGCTCTGGACTTGGGTTTTGTTTCAACCTTGTTGCATGCACATCCGTTGCACAGAGTTGTTTGTGTCTGACTATTGGTTCCTCGCCTCTCAAGTAGATGCGCTCTTGGATTTTCAGGTACGCGAGGTAACGAGCACAATGATAGATTAACTGATGCCGCTCCTCTGGGCAGTAAGCTACTTTTTGGTAAAACGGACGTGGTGAAAGCTCTCTGCGAACAGATGGACAGCGCAATACAGCAGATAGAGAGTCCATACACTGAAAGATTAATTAAACACTAAGGGGGAAACATTGGTGGAGGTTGCAGCTGGTACTATTAGCAAGCATGTCGACTCTTCATTGGCTACTGAAGAAGGAGACGGAGCAGGTATGAGAATGTCCCAAGTGCAGTCAGTTATTGATTCACTTCTTCTTCACTTCCTCTTTTACCGCTGTGGGTGTCGAGGAAGATATAAGGTTCTGTTTCTAACTCTTCTGGCTGCCTCGACCATAGGCACATCGTGCTGTTGTAGAGTTTCTCTGATGTTATCCTTCCATCTTGTTCTAGGTCTACCCCGTGCTCTACGTCCTTCTTCTATTTCCATGTATGCTTTGTATGGTATGGTGTCACAAGGCATTCTCTCTAAGTGGGCAAACCATTTCACTTGCTGTCTTTGTATGTAATCCAGAATTGGTTCTGTGCCGACTTGTTCTCTTATGATCTCATTCCTGATCTTATCTCTTATGGTCACTCCTACAGCCCTTCCCAGACATCTCATTTCCGTGGTTACTAATTTTCTTTTATGGTTTGTTGTGAGTGACCATGTCTGGCACTGGTAGCACAGAGTTGGAATAAATATGCTTTGAATAAGATGTCTCTTTGTGCTGATTGGGATTGTCTTATGCTGTAAGAGGGGGGCTAGCTGTCCCAATAATTGGTTTGCTTTACTGCATCTAATGTTAATTTCTTTATCCAATTTCCCATCTTCAGTAAATGTAGTTCCCAGATATTTAAACTCAGATGCCTGTTTAATGACTTTGTATTCTATTGCTATGTTTAGATCTGTCTTCTTTTTTCCTATTGATTCACTGATTCATTCAAATGACTTCTTCCGTCTCCCCAACCCCCTTTTTTCCTCTCCCACGCAGCAAAAACTATTTCACACTACGCTCTTTTCTAAATGTTCTCCTACAGCTCCACCTGAGGTCCATTTCATATTTTTCACCTGTCTGTTATTTTTCCAGGTATTTTGAAATGTCTGCTTCTATTCCTTCCTCTGTGGATTCTATAGACCAGCATATATAGCAGTGTGTCCTCTGCAGTGTTTAGCTGTAGCAGTGTTTCCTCTACAGTGTTTAGCTATAGCAGTCTTTCCTCCACAGTGTTTAGCTATAGTAGTGTTTCCTCTACAGTGTTTAGCTATAAAAGTGATTCTAATACAGTGTTTAGCTAAAGTAGTGATTCTAATACAGTGTTTAGTTATAGTAGTGTTTCTAATACAGTGTTTAGTTATAGTAGTGTTTGCTCCTCAGTGTTTAGCTAAAGCAATGTTTCCTCTACAGTGTTTAGCTATAGTAGTATTTTCTCTACAGTGTTTAGCTATAGCAGTGTTTCCTCTACAATGTTAAGCTATTTCAGTGTTTCCTCTACAGCGTTTAGCTATTTTAGTGTTTTCTCTACAGTGTTTAGCTATAGTAGTGTTTCCCTTACAGTGTTTAGCTATAGTAGTGTTCCCTCTACAGGGTTTAGCTATAGTAGTGTTTCCCTTACAGTGTTTAGCTATAGTAGTGTTCCCGCTACAGGGTTTAGCTATAGTACTGTAAACTCAGGTTGAAAATCCTGGTGGTCTGTCCACTTCTGGACTTTGATCTTGTCACAGAACTTGAGTTTTGCGGATCTGGCTTATTTGTACGCGGAATGTTGATTCCCTGCCTCTCAAGCACAAGCACTCAGACTTCAGAGGATTACTCCTACGACATGTTTGTTGGGACAGGAGGTACCCCCTCCCCCCTCGCCCCATTCCCTATAATTGGGCCCCGGAGCACACACGGGGAAGAAAAGGAAAAAAGTGTTCATCAATGTTGATAAATGGATTTAAAAAAAAAAAAGACAAGTGAAATATTTCGACCATATTAAAAGACATAACACTCTTATAGAAAGCCACACTGGAGGAAAAAGATAAAGGCAAGCGAGCAAGAGACAGTTGGCGAGACGTTCGGGAGAATGAAATCAAGTGATAAACATCAGTTTCAATGAGAGTACAGCCAAGGCGAAAGACTGCTTTATAGATCCATTGCAGCCGATCGTCTTTGTGAGGGGGAAGTGGGGGGGGGGGGGGGGGGGGGGGGGGGGGGGGGGGGGGTGAGGGGGGGGGGGGGTGGGGGGGGGGGGGGGGGGGGGGGGGGGGGGGGGAGTCGAGACCTGACAGACTGACCGATGGGAAATATTTAAGTCAACAATTGTTGGAAACTAAAAGCTATACATTAGGTTCCTTTTATTGAAAATCTACTAGGGTAGCTCGCCTCGAGTGCTAGAGGTTCTGGGTTCAATCCTTGATAAGGGCTAGGATTTGTTTACGTGGACTTGGACTTCTAGTAATTCCCCCTGGTCCCTGGGTAGTGAGACCGGACGCCCGTGTGCATTGTTGCGCACGTTAAAGAAACATCCCTAGGCAGTTGGAAATCTAAAAGTCTAGCCTAACGGCGCTGCCCAGGCAAAATTTGGAGTTAAAAATCTACCCAAAGTATTTTAGGATCCTCGCCGGTGCTACAGAGCCTGTGTACTATGCTGAGCTTCTTCGAACTCAGACTTGAGTTAGAAGAAGAACGGAGCACTTATGGGTTACTACCCGTGTGCCATGATGTTGATCAGTTGTTCGAAACCTCAAACCTTAAAATCTGCTGCCTCACTGCCGACTTACCTCCCTGTGTGACAACGGCAATGTCCACGCCCTTGGTTTTGGCCATACTTCCTAGCGTAGAGAATACTACGAACCCAGCATAGAAACTCGTCAAGCAGTTGATTATAGGGACTGTGAACGCATCTCTGTAATGATAGAACAACACTTAACTCTTCTTGTCCTAATAAATACACCAGACGTGCTTAACTACTGTCATATGTGATTACTTATTTATATCTTTAACATTTAATAGGATAATGCTGATTATACGTCGATATGATTATTGAAACGTTGGTCTGTCCAGGGAAAATAGGTGAAGTTCCATTGCAAAGTTTGTTGGACTAGTCTACCGTGGTCGAGGTTATGGGTGTGGCGACCTGTTGTTGTCATGCCTTTACGTTTTTATTCCGAGAAAGAGACTGCCTGTGACATAGGCTTTATCACTCTCTAAAGGGGTTCTGTGTCAACGGCATTGCGGAACACCCCCATGAAAGTGACATAAGGCTGCGTGGCTCAAGGTCGACCAATCAGAAGTAAGCTAGGCTGAAGTTCAACTAATCAGAAGTTAGATAGTGTGTATATGGGCGGTCGGTGGGGATACCAGTGTCAATCCTAGCCATCTCCTTGTGAAATGCAATTTCTTGTTATTTCAAAGCCCCACCCTGGCTGTTACCATGGGCCGCAATATAGCTCGACCATAAATATGGTCTAATGGCTGAACGCGGTTTCTGGGTCCTCTCCCCGGGTGATCCTCATCCACATGGTGGCACTTTGTGTCAACGGGTGTTTATCGCTTGTGTGATGTCCTAGTGGGGTATAAATCTACTACTACTAATGCCAATGTAACAAATGACCGTCCATATTGTAATGACACTGTTTATCGTTTTCAGGAGTTTAGCATAATCTCTCATTTAGCATAAATTATGTGTATGAGGCGGGTTTGTCTGCATAGTATGTAGAGCGTTGTTTGTGTGAAACATGACAATAGATAAACGATGCTGGGATATTGCTTGGAATTGAATGGGTGATTAGAAATGTGAGAGAACTGAGGATCAATCTACATGTGGCGCTTGAACAAGGCGGATGGAGCTTACGAGGATAAATTCATTGTCAGCCATAAAGTTGAATCAACCCAGACAGCCTACAACAGCTACGAATATCTGGCTAAGTTGTAACTGCCATGATGTGAATGCAAGATCACGACTGTTAAGGTTGACTCAGGAAAATTTGAGCCGGCCAGTGAATGTCTGTGAAGTGAATGTGTTTTGGAAAATTTAGTTTTGTGAGTAGTGCTGTTTGACATTAAGCTGAAAGCTGTCTTAACCACACACAAGACCAAAAGTAGTGACAGACGACAGCTTGCAGCTTTGGAACGGAAAATATTCGTTTGTCAGTGAGACTTGTGTTCCAGCCTGTCTATCGTGGAGTTATGCATGTCGTTTGTCACTGTTACTGTATCTACTGGGACAATTATGGTTCCAGTCCTCAGTAATGTTACTCAGTCTTACTAAATTAGTACTTTCAACATATTTAGTTTTTAATCGTGCTATTAGCCCCAGTATACCAAAATTTAAAGAGTGATGGTCGAGCGTAGTTTTGTAACATTGGATTAACAATTAAGCAATCCTATCTAAATATCCACCGCCCACCCCTTTTTCTGTTTGGTGGACTACGAAACAAGTTCTCCATGTTTTGGTGGGCTGCGGGTGTATGAAGTTTGAAGAACACTGCTATAGACCACAAGTGTTGGTAATGTTGTTTAATGTCACAAATACAATTGTTATTATTAGTCATGCGTGTGTTGTTTTAGCTACAGTTGTTTATAATTGGGACCTAGGTCATATCTGGTTGGTGCTAAAACGTCAACATTGTTATCTTTCATAGCAGCTGTTGTACATTTTTCTTCCTTATCGTTTTTCATTGGCTGCAAACTCCGGTGGAAAGTCCTGCTTGTTCGTCCACCACAGGAATTTGTGCTCGCTTCCCCCCAAAACACATAGATTTGCATGCACGTCCGTTTTACAGATCTAGCCTCTTTTTTACATGCAAACTATTGGGTTCTCACCTCTCAGACAGATACATTTAAACTTCGAAATTGAAAGAAGAAAAAAACCCAGTTAGAAGCCGCCTTTCACAACATACGTGGTAAAGGACAGTGAGTCCACCCCCTCCCCCCCACCCTCCCCCCCCCACCCCGTCCATTCCAAGAACTAGGGACCCGGGACTCACATAGGGAAATTGTGCTTTCAGAATTTATATTTCTGTTTTATACCCAGAAGTCGGTGAGCGAACCTATCTGCAGCATTGAGCCTCAAGAGCTCGGAATGCTGAAGAAGCAGCAGATTATGTACGTGGTCTGTGATTTCTGGTTACCAGGTCTAGTGTTATTATATACATATGTATTAGGGTAAATGCATCTGCAACAGCTGCAGTGGCTCGACGCTTATTGCAGACCGACAGCTGTGGGTTTATTCATTACTGTAACAGACACTCTGAAGTCAGCACGGGCACATTTTTAGACATTTTGTGGTAAATGCCGGCACCTTTGTTTCTAGAAAAAGGGAAGCTCTGGTTATTATATAATGTTCTCTCCGATTCAGTTAGATAGAACCATTGTGGAGAAACAAGAATATACCCACTGCCTCCCCAACAAGCATGTCGTAAGAGTAAATTAATTGGGAACTTCCCTGTAAGTCGGAGAACATTTACGTGAAAAGCAAGGGAACTACAGTTTTCATAAAATTAAGCTTGATCTGTAAAACAGATGTGCATGCAACCCTCAGGTTTTGTAAAATTAACTAAAATTCCAGAGGTAGCGAGCAACTAAAACTTTTCTCCAATTTTTAGAACCGGCTTTGACAGGTGATGATGGCTAACGTGATGTTGGCCCACATGACCCACCGCGGACAGACTTGTCTAGAGGTGGGAGTTTAGCATCACGTTAGCATTGCTGCAATGACATGTGAAGGGAGCTAAATGTTACTTTGACTAACCTGATGATGTTGTTGTTGAACGTGTTGTAGCTAGACATGGCGATGAGGCCACCCATACAGGCACTGAGGGAGAAGAAGATCTGGACTGCTGCATCACTCCAGACCTGCAAGTTTTAGAAGAGGAAAATGGTAATATCTTATAAAGACTCTTGTCGATTATTTCCTGATGTCTCCAACATAGGGAAGTGTTCACCTGCGAATCCCATGATCTGTTGTATCATCATCGGCG